TTCTTTAGACTGAACTGTTGCGCTTCTCGTTGCGTCACACCTCAACCCGCCTCAAAGCCAACGCTGATTGGACGTTCGTTTGGTGAACTGCTCCAAATTTTCTTCAACGGAGAGTCTCCAGACTGATTAGCGAGTGAAACCTTGAAAGCTTGCGAGATCAGGATGGTCTCACGAGGCTAATAAATATAGGCTATACATATAAAATCTCCACATTTTTATGATTAAAGATAAAATTGCTGTTGTATTTATTTATGTGCCAAGATTGTTTTATAGTTTTTTGTTTGCATTTCATTTAAAATTATATTAAAAATATATTACAAATATGGGATTATTTAGAAACAATAAGTTACTAGAAGTAAAGATTCATTAATTAACTGAAAAAAGAATCAATAGATGAATTGATCACTCAAATAATCTATTGGTGCAGCCCTACTGTTTATGTGAAAAAGAAGAAAAAATTATGAGGATAAACTTCTTTTTATTGGGCAAAGGAATTTAAAATGATTAAATAGATTATTATCAAAAGAAAGGCCAAACAAGTGGGATGAGTAACATCTTTTGCACCCGATGAGTCAAGCATTGGTCTTCAGATCCATGTGTTATTCAGTGCAATGAATGTAATAGGGTTCTTTTTACTTAAAAAATAAAATCACGCCTGCTTTAGCAGGATTGCTCAGGTTGTCCCATGTAGGGAACACTTTAAATGACAGCAAACACAAACATTACCCTCAAGTAAACTCCCTTATTTCACTAATGCATCAGCATCTGACACACTGAATCACCACAACACTTATATAGGTCATTTAAGTGAGTCCAGCTTGCAGTTGCACTGAAGTATGCAGAGCAGGGGGATTTCTTTTTTGCCGCAGTCTGTTGGGGCCGGTGAGGCAGATATGACTCGACAGGCTCTCGGCCCAGTCGGGCAGCACGCGAGCTCCTTTGACCCGATGAAATATGCGAGTATCATCTGGAGCTGCATTGGTGTGTGTGTTGTCCTGTCTACTTTATTTTTTAAACCCAAAACATGAAGAGAAATTAGGTCAATTAAGGCTTTGATGCTTTGATATTGAGTCTCGTGTTGAAGTCTAGTTTAAATTTTAACTGAAGAAATATGTGAAATATATGTTTGGGTTTTCTCTGTAACAGGTTTCTCTTTAGACTTCCTTTTTGCCTGTTGTGTGCTTGAAGTCATGCTCCTACTGTATATGTGTCACACCATGAGTCACTACTACAAGCTTACTTCGGCCTAATCTCTCTTCTCCAGTATGGGATGGAGACTCATCCTGGATTTATGCACTTAGCATGTTTGCGGCTGCAGAGAGTAATCAGGGATCAACTTGATGCTTATTGAAACTGAAAGGAACGCTCTGCCGTGTAAAGCCTTTCTGGATGAAATGTTTTTTATTGAGTCGTTTGATGCAAATGTCATGCATTTCTATGTATTTTTAGCTAATTTAAAATTGAAGTTAGACTAACATATAAGATGCATGCAAAGGTAAAATGCTGCAAAGGAGAAATTGTGCAAACTGAAAGTGGACTGGTAAATTTTGCTAAGCAAAAAAAAAAAAGGCATGGGAAAGCCCTGCAAGTAGCTGAAACAGCTGCAAACTAGCTCTGCATCAACAAATATGGGATCAGACCATAGACATTACAACAGATCAACGTCTGTGGATCGGATCTGTTGCTAAAACATAAACCGTACAGAGGACATTTGGAGGGAATAAAGACAAGTTACCTTTTCAGACTGAAAACATTTTCACCAATACCCCATCTAGAATTTTCTTGGATATTAAAACTGATCCCCATATTGATATTGCATTTACTTTACATGTATTTAGTGCACTTTGAGTGTTAGACTTAGACTCAACTATTTTTATCCCTTGGGATTACTTCTTCAGGGAAATTCTGGTTCCAGTAGCTTATATAGAATACAAAGAGTTAAAGCAAGATGTCATTAAAGATAAAATATATGACAGACAATATTAAAAGATTGTATATAGTACTTGCACTGCAGAAATGTACTGACCTTATAAATAGGTAATATTGCACCGATACCAGTATAGGGCAGGGCCCCCATCCAGCACTAAAGTGGTGGTAATGGTATCGGCGAGTACCGACAAATAGGGCATTGATACAATTTTAAGACCCAAAAGTTTATTCAACTATTGTCACCCATTCCACGTAGGCAATAAAAGTTCTACTGGATTCACTTTGTTTTAGTCTTTTTCCTGCTTCACAAAGGTAGGCAGCAGCTTGACAAAGCCATGATGGCAATTATTTTACATCCAAGTAGAATGCAGTTCTTCATATTTACACACACACCAATTTCAAAGTGATGCTATCGGTATCGGTATTGGCCAATACTGCACAGCCAGGTATAGGGTATTGGTATCGGGGCCAAAAATGGCCTACACTACAAATAAGTTAAAAAATATATTGCATATTGAATATTGCATATGACTGACAATAGGTAATGTTTTACATAAGATGACCAAGGAGGGTGGTGCTAACCTTTGTCCATTTTCCTATCACCTCCTCCTTCCCCCAAGTGTTTGCATGTAGCAGGTTTTTGTGTTTGCAGCATCTTTTCTTGTTTGTATCGATGTATTTCCTGTTATTTCCAGCATTTCTCATTTGCAGCACTTTTCTTTTGCATGTGCTTTGTATCAATGCCTTTGCACAGCATTTGCAGCCAGTAGAATAAACAACAGTTCTTCTTTCTTAGGGGCTAGAGGTTGCATCCAGAACTTACATCATCAAATGCAACAAAAAGCATTGGTGTAAGGCATGCAGTTTATTAAGGTGGAGAAGCTGGGTTGATGACTCATGCTGTCTGAGTCTACTGGTCAGCTTCATGTTTGGTGGTTGCCAGGGAAACAGGATTCATCCGACTGCACTCTTAAGGTGTGTGTTGGTTCGTTTGGTGTATGTAGATAGTTTATTTATCCTGCATTACATTAAGAACTTCTATAAAATTCTCAAGGCAACAGTGTGGGGATGGCCTGTTCCTCTTTGACTGATGTGCAGTCCGGTTTGAACAGCCAGTCCACAAAGCAAGGTCCACAAGGACACAGATGACTGAGTCTGGTGTGCAGGTATCTGAGCGCCCTTCTGACCACAACCTGATCTTACCCTTGTTGGCTAAACTAAAGCTGAGACTTTATAAGGTTTCATTAAATCCGTCAAGCATGCACAGTTAATTATCAAACATGACTCTACTTTTAGTTGCAACTTCTACCTGGAAAGACGACTATTTAATAAAATTCATTGACGCATTCTAACCTTGAATAATAGCCAACAAAAAGTAACTAATCAGCATACTGGTGTCAGATAAGAGAGAAGTAGCTTCTGTGTTTCCCCCCAAACAGATAAGTCAGAATTTGTTTCTAGCACCTGGATAACAGTTGGTGAGAAAGTGTAGACCAGAAAGGGAGGGAACAGGGAATGGCTTCTCTTTCAAAGTTACCAAACAGCAACAAAGGCAGAGAAAGTGAAGCCATGCAGTTAATGGTCCCTACTGGGAGTTGAACGTGGAATATCACTCCAGAGTTATGCTTACTTTAGGGCCCTGTCACACCTTGCCAAATTAAACAACGTATACCCAACGTCCCAGAATCTTCTACAACGCTGGCATAGGCTGAAACTTTCTATGTATTTTTTTCAATTTTGGGCGCATATATGGCGCATTCATAACTAGTCCAGAACTTATGTCCAACAACAGCCTAACTTTATTTAACTTTATATGTTTGTGAAAAGCTTTCTCTAATCCCTTTTTAAATAATTTTAACCTCCCCTATAGCAATGTAGATTGTCAGATTTAAGTCTGTATCTTGAAGCTCCCACTGTTAGTATTGCTAGTTGATTGCATGAAAACTGAGGAATCCTGCAGGCGCTTTAAATAACTGATATATACAACCCTGTCCCTCCTGTATACATTGCACATTATACATACATGCATACGTTTTAAATAAGACCTTCCTGAACGTCAGTACTAAAGAAAATCATTTACCTGCTTCTCTATAAACTTAGAATGCAAACAACTGACGGATGAAAAGGTTTTTTTGATCCTCATACAGCCTTTGACCTAATGGACTGCCACCAACTCAGGTTTCTGCTGTTGGAGGGTCTTGGTTCTCCTTGTGTTGGGTTTTCTGATCTTAAAGGAATTATAAGTGAGATGTTTCCTGTAGAATTAACCAAAATCATTCTCATTTGTTACCTGGGATGGATTAATGATCAATCCTCTCTATCTACAGTGTCTTAGTCAAAATTTTCTCCTTCTGTTTTGGAGCTTAAGCCATTCAGTGATTTATGGACTAAAAGAAGCATTTTAAAGTCTATTTCCTGACATACAGTACATGGAGCCATTGGAAGGACTTTAGAACTGGGTTGATGTGCTCCACTTTTTTAGTTTTAGTGAGGATGCAGGCAGCAGCTTTCTAGATTAGCTGCAGCAGGACCATTTAATTTTTATTAAGACCTGTGAAGACAATGCTGCAGTGATCAGTTCTAAGAAAGATAAATACCTGGATTCGTTTTTCAGGGTCCTGCTGAGACATTAGCTCTTTAGTCCTGGAGATTTTCCTTTAGGTGATAGAAAGGCTGGCTTTGTTACTGTCTTTATGAGCCTCTGAAGGGTTTAGCTCTGGCGAGGGTAGGAGACAAATCTGGGTGAGTCCACGACTACACCCAGATTTAATATTGGTATTTGTGATAATTTTGAACACTCTGCATTCAGCCTAACAAGGATTAATGGAGCTTTAAGTTTTATTTACATTGGGTTGACATTATTAATAACTTTAAGCGGGTAAAGCGACTTTTTAGACAAGCAAAGTAATTTTTCAATGGGTAAATAGTCCTGTCCCAAATCAACTTTTTGTTATTCTCTATTTGTGCAGCTGATTTATTCTACATCTTGCATTTTTGCATATTTAAGAACCTGTATTTTTTTAAATACAAGCTTTTAATGCTTGTCCGTGTGCATGTGTGTTTCTCCTCAGGGGTGGATATCCTGAAGCTGGTTGCAGCCCAAGTTGGCAACCAGTGGATCGACATCTATCAGTCGCTGGCCAACGCCACCGAACGTGAGGTTGCTGCCTTCTCAAATGGCTACTCGTCTGATCAAGAGCGTGCGTACGCAGCGCTGCAGCACTGGACCATCCGAGACAGCGGGGCCAACCTTGCCAAGCTGATCAACGCTTTGCACCGGCAGCGCCGCATCGACGTGGTGGAGAAGATCCGCTGTATCATGGAAGACAACCCTCAGGTGGGTTTCTGCTGCTGTGACTGTGACTTGAAAATGCTGTAATGTTGTTAAATCAGGATGTCAAGGGGAAATAGTCTGTCTGACCTTCAGTTGCATGATAGTGTTACATTAAGGGCTCTATCAACATCAAGCAAACATGTTCCGGTACACCCTGTTCTCTTCATGTTTGTTTTAATGAAATCTATTCTGGGAGGGAAGATTCCTCTCTGAAGCCAGTCCATGAGCTTCAGACGCATTCCTCACATTAAAGTAACTCCACTTTGAGAAGATTATTTGATGTTTCAACACTAATTGTAGTCTGTGTTGCAATTAAATTTGGAAGGAAAATAAGAGATAAGAGAGTATCTGTAGCGTTTGGTTCAGATTTCTGCATGCATGTGAGCTGATAGGAGTCAGCCTGTTGCATGGATACTTTAATAAAAACGGCAGACTCACATGCCCCATGTCATTCCCGTGACCTCTCCATATCCGTGAAGTTTAGACCTTGCACTGTAATCCTATAAGGACATTTTGGATCAGTCATCACTGTTTACTTATCCTATTACTCTTATTTGAACAGTTTGTATTAAATCAGTGCTTTTGACCAGCCTCTTCAAGGTCAGGGCTGCACATGTAAAGCTCTGGTAACAACCCAGATTGATACCATCTTTCATCACTGCTTAATTATCAACGGATCATGTCATGCCATTGAATTATCGTTAAGATACAGGTTATTAATACGAGGAAGGGACGGCCAAATGAAGCCGATGAAGTAAAATGATATTGAATAGAGTTGCAGGGAATCATTTTGATTGGCTGATTGATTGAGCAAAGGTGGTTGTATTATCATTTGCCCAGCAATCTTAGGAGATCACCTGGAACATAAAAATTAGTTGCAAAGACCAGAAAAAATGAAATTTAGCGCTTCTAATTAGGAATGAAGACCATACCCTAAAACATCTATTAATACTTAAAGGAAAAGTCCGGTCAGCAACAAATAATCAGTGGATCATAATTTATACCTAGAACTAATATGTTTGCAGTGATTAAATGAATCTAGCGTTAATCAGTAAAAACATAAAAATAATATTTTTCGTTACGATCACAGAGTCCGGGACCAGCAATTTTTGCCCAAATATAGTAACCCCTCCCTCCTGACATCTTCCAGCAGTGACATCACGGTGCGGTAAGCCTAGCGCCATTCTCCTCGCTTTACAAGCAAAATCAATGGGAACTACTAGACACATCTGCAACAATTATTGAAGATTTCCAGAGGACTTCACCCTTGAAATTCACCAGAGCTATAGTGAAACTGACAATGCCCATGTGCATGGCAGCTGGATGCTGGAATACATCGGGTAAAAGTGAAAAAAAGATCAGTTATTTCACCTTTCCGATTCCTGATCTGCCTCGGACGGGTTCTTTGCTGGATTGCCAACTTGAAGAGGGAGGATTTGCCATTGAACTTCTGGCCAGAGAAAAAACCCGTAATATGTAGCCAACATTTGGAAGAAGAATGTTTTCAAAAAGACTCGGAGAATAGCGCGTTGTGACAAACACCAGATACAGCACTGGGACTTGATCAACAGCCGATACTGCACTGTGATGTCACAAACCAGTAGGTGGCATTAGCAAAAGAAAAGTATATTTAGTGGTGAGTATTCCTTTGTTGGCTTTTGTGGATGCATAAAGCCTTCCAAATTTCATTCAATTCTTATCTTCTGCCATCTTCTAACATGAAATCATCCTGATTAGAGAAGAGACATTTTATTATGAAGAAGAGAAACACCGTACCACCATACCTCTAACACCTTGGCAAGAAGCAAGCAACGTTCTTTGTATGGAAAGACATAACATATAACATTTATTTAGGTTATGACCTTTGGAATGACTATATTTTATCACATCGTGTGCAGCATTTCAGCGTGGTGCATGGCTGGGACGCATGTCAATTTGTCTTCTTACATAACAGAGACATTTGAGACGCAGTTTTGCTCTGTCACAGCATCAGTGGTTTCCCAGTCTAAGAATGGAGCCTCAGCCTATTGGTCGATGTTTCTATTTTTGTCTTTGCTTCATGGAGAGAGCCGAAGTCAGACTGAACACGGATGTGATTACCTCTCTTCACTCGTTTCTGTTTCTGCTCACAGTAAGCCTTGAGGCTCTCTCTGAGAGACTGTTTCTCTGATAGAGCAACACTTAAAGAATATTTCCAAGCTCCGCATTCAAAACACCGTGGTGATACTGAAATAGTTTTAAGCCTGCAATCATTTTTACCCTTTTCCAACAGACACAATTATGTCTCCCTGGATGATTCTGCCATTTCTAACGATATCTGACCCAAAAATAATCCTACAAAGTTCAATAGGATTTAATTAGGTTGTTTTATGCCAAAAACAAAATATCACCTCCCTGTGATTTAAAATTCATACCCAATAACAAAACATTCCAGCTTTGTCATTGCAGCAGATAGTTTCGCCAGTAGAACTAAAAAATATCTTAAGGCCCTGTCACACCTTGACGATTTAGACCAGCGTATGCCTGATGTACGAAAAATCTGGCAAAAATGCTGCCATTTGTTGGATAAGTTATGGGTACATTTTTTATAAGTTATGAGCACGCTGAAGTACGCTGGCACACGTCGACATACGGTAAGTACGTCATGTATGCCAGGGTATGCCAAACGTGGCCCATAAGTTATAAGTAAGTTATCTGATTGTTGACATGCGTTAAGTGTAAGTTACTCATAAGTCATGGTCCTAGCTTATCCTGTCAGTAACTTATATCAACATATTGCATATCAATGTATTTGACGTGTTCCAGACAACCGCTGAACGTGTTTCTAACTTACAGCTACTGTATAATGGCACATTGTCAGTGTTTAGGTATAAAAGGGGGTTCAAAGGGATTCCTTTTAGGTATAAAAGGAGGAAACTGTCAGTTCTCCTACAGATTTCATCCCAATCATAGGGTGAGTGAGAAGGTGAGTGTAATGGACCTCTCTGCGTTCATGCCCACAGCCTTTTTATGCATTTTTAAATGCACTTTTTATGCATTATACGTTAGGCTGTCATTACTATATGTATACGTCCAAAATTGAAAAAGTTAATGGAAAGTTCAGCCGGCGGTTTAGGAGATTTTGGGACATTAGGCATACGCTGGCTAAATCGTCAAGGTGTGACAAGGCTTTACTTTACAAATCCAACACAGAGACAAAGCGGGTAGGCTGTAGTTTAATTTTAATACTTGAAATATCGTAGACATACCTTTAATGACACTCATCCACTAAATCCATGTTAAGCAACACAGGGTTTTCTATTACAGCTGCTGAGGATTTATCCCCCATTGTATGCAGTTGTTGTTGCTATTCCTGCCCCGACTGCCCTCTCGCCTCTGCTCTGGAGGCTGCTGCATTGATATAGAGGAATGACACACACTTCCATTTCAAGAGAATACTGTAACATGTATTGGCAGCATTTTGGTATAAAAGGGGGTTCACAGGAGGAAACTGTCAGTTCTCCTCCAGGCTTCATCCCCATCATAGGCTGAGCGAGAAGGTGATTGTGACGGATCCTCCCTGGGTTAATGTCCACGCCCTCGGCCAACAAACTTCCTAGCAGACATGACGCTGAATCTGCTGCGATTGCAAACCTTCTTTCTTTGTTGTTCTTTTGATTTATTCTTTTTTTGGCAGGCAGTAAGATGCAGCTATGTTAATACTGCGTTAAAAGAAACCTTTGCCCGGGTGCCTCGGGGCGCATTGCTGCCCCCCTCAGGACACTGGCTTGTGACATTTCATGGGCATTACTCTGCTGTGTTTAATGCATAAGTTAGGCTGTCATTGGACATATGCTCAGGACTTGTTATGGATGCTGTATATGCTCAACATTGAAAGAATACATAGAAAATTCAGCATATGCCAGATTCTGGGACATCAGGCATACTCTGGATTAATCGGCAAGGTGTGACAAGGCCCTTATAAGCCTGTTAATCAGGCCTGTAGTCAGTCCCTGATGGAAACTGTCCTGCTAACGATTTTTCTAGATTCTGCCACCCGAGGAGCAGAAAAGTCCAATTTGTTGCTTCTTTGATTGCTCCTTCAGTGTCCGTCATGAACAACCTCAAATACTGGGATTGTATTTATCATTTTAACCACACAAATACTCAAAGGCTATTTGGGACATAATTGGGTGTTTATGGCTTAGTTCCCATTAGCAGCCATTTAGTCCCTTCTCTAACAAGCCCCATAGGATAATAAAATGAAACCACATGCCTTTCTTTCACAAGAAAAGGACAGCAATTTCCTGGAAATCACTTTGGAACCCTTTGAAGTGCAGTTTAAAGAGAAGTGGATGTCCTGCTGAGGTGTTGAATTAAGCGACTAAACCCAAGAAAGAGAAGAAAAGTCTTCATGAAAAGAGTTAAAATTTCAGATTCTTTATGGCAGGCAGGCCAAAGAAGATAAATACTTCAAGATAATAAAATAAAATATGAAGGAACAAACTAATTTAAAAGACAAATGCAGAAAACATTGAAAACAGAGCACAAGGAATATATGTAAAGGATTTTATTGATCAACACAGTGGGAGTAATAAGATGCTGTTTTACAAATATATATTTGAATATTGTTTTTAATTCCCCATTTAAACCATTTTAGGAAAATAAATACATACAGTAAATCAAATTTGATCCCCTTTTCATTTTCCTTAGGAATGAATCCATACTTTACGATCCTAGCTGGGTAATTATTTCAGTGAAACAGAATTTGACTTAGAAGTTTGCACAATCATGTGGATGTAGTCTTAGAAATGGTTCGTTAACCAGCGTTTCCCAGTGTCCTACACGATGGATAAAAAGTTACACAAGCAGCAACGCTGATCGACTGCCTGCAGGTGAGTTCTTGATTGGTGCAATCACCGCTCTTTGCCAGGCGGGCTAATGTTGGCACAGGAGGAAGACCTGTGGAGAGCACCAGCCACTTTCACAATCCAGATTTTCCATCAGGTCTTAACTGGAGCCCT